ATACTATTAAAATGTCAATACCACCCAAAGAGGTCTGTAGATCCAATGCACTCCTTAGCAGAATTCCAACTGCATTCCTACAGAGACGGAATGGTACCCACTCAAATTCATGCAGAATTTCAAAGGCTCTGAACAGCCAAAATAATCTTGAAAAAGGACAGGACCAGAGGACTCAACTTCCTGACTCTGAAATTGACTGCAAAGCTACAGTCATCAAGTCAATGTAGCCCTGGAACATGGACAGAAGTACAGACCAATGGACCAGCACAGAAAGCCAGGTGTAAGTGCATACATAGAGCTCAGGTGACTTTGAACAAGGGTAAGTGGGGGGAAGGACACATTGTCAACAAATATTACCGAGGACTGGAGAGTCACACGAAAAAGAACACAGCTTCTGTACTTCATACTGTGTACAAAACTCAGAATCAGCTGAAGAATGGGACCAGCAGTTAGCATAATGGCTATGTTGCTGAACTCCCATGGAGCCGACTGCAGTTTGAGTCCTGGACTCAGTGGCTTAAACTCATGCCAGGCACGTGTGCGTGCATGCCCAAGATCCCGAGAGGAGAATGGAGAAGGGATTGTGGTGTGGCCATCCTCCCTGGAGGGTAATTTCTTGCTTTCTATTTCTCTCTCTCTTTCTGGCAAGAGCACGCACCCTATAGCAAAAACCTCTCAAAAAAAAAATAATAATAATTGAAGAAAGACCTAAACTTCAGACCTAAAAGTTTAAAAAATTCTTTAAAAAAAATTCTTAAATTTTTAAAATTCTTAGAAAAAAAGATTGTGGAATATATATATTTTTTCTTTTTTTTTGGAGAGTTTTTTTTGTTTGTTTTTTTTTTTTGCTATAGGGCGCATGCGCTCGCCAGAAAGACAGAGAGACAGAAAGTGAGAAATCACCCCCCAGGGGGGTGGCTACGCCGCAATCCCTTCTCCTCCATTTTCCTCTCGGGATCTTGGGCACACACGCACACACGCCCGGCATGAGTTTAAGCCACCGGGTCCGGGACTAGAACCGCAGTGGACTACATGGGAGTCCAGTGACATGCCATTACGCCAACTGCTGGTCCCTGTGGAATATATTCATGACACTGGATTTGGTAACAATTTAATGGATATGACTCCCAAAGTACAGGTAACAAAAGGAAAATATAGAGAAGTTAGATTTCATGAAAATTAGAACATTTTAAGAAAAGATACTGTGAGGAGGTGTGTGTGTGCTCACCAGACAAAGAGGGAGAAAACCCCCCACGGAGCACTGTCGCATGGCACTCCTCCTTCCTCCGCTCCCCCAGGATGTTGGGCACACATGCGCAAAGACCAGTGTGTTTTTCAAGCTACTAGGGCTGGGATTTGAACCACGGTCAGCCAGGGGCTGACTCTTAACCACTGTGCTATGTGGCCGGCTCAAGAACTGTATGTCAAAGGACACTATCAAAACAGTGGGAAGAGGCCCAGCCACAGTGGCCCTCACTGCTAAACCACTGCACTGGGAGGCTCAGGCTCAGTCCCAAACTCTGGGTGCTGTGGTGTGAGCCTGTGCCCAGCAAGGCAGGAAGACTGCCAACTCAAGACTAGCCTGGCCACAGAGGAGGCCCTGTCTGAAAGAGCTGGCTGGGCGTCTACAGCCCAGCTACTTGGGAGACTAAAGTAGGAGGGAGGGGACTCAGCAAGAAAAAGAAACCGGCCGAGCCGTGGGGCGCAGGTGGCAGCATGCCGTCAGCAGTGCTGAGAGCCACGTGGCAAGCACAGGCCTTGGTCCTGAGCAGGTCACACACCGGGTGCTGCCCGAGGCCCTGACGGGGGGATGGGGTGAGCGGTAACGGCACGACGAGCCCGTCGGGGGCCTATCTACTGCCTCGTCAGAGGAATCCAGTACGTGTTCCCCCTTTTTAAGAGAGTTTTTGCTATAGAGCGCATGAGCTTGCTGGTGAGACAGAAAGACAGAAATCACCCCGGGGGTGGCCACACCAAAATCCCTCCTCCTCCAGTCTCCTCTCGGGATCTTGGGCACACACACACGCGCCCAGTATGAGTTTCAAGCCACCGCGTCTGGGACCTGAACTGTGGTTGACTACGTGGGAGTTTGGAGATATAACCATTATACCATCTGCTGGCCCTCAATAAATTAAGTTTTCTCAGAGATTTCTGCTATAGGGGACATGTGCTTGCCTGGAGAGACAGAAAGACAGAAAGCGAGAAATCGCCCCCAAGGGAAGATGGTCACACCACAATCCCTTCTCTTCCAGTGTCCTCTTGGGATCTTGGGCACGCACGCACCTGTGCCTGGTGTGAGGTTTAAGTCAACAGGTCCGGGACTCGAACCGCAGTCGGCCATGTGGGAGTCCAGCCATGTGACCATTACGCCACCTGCTGGTCCCAACTCAATAGTCAAAAAAAGAAAAAAAAAAAACCCTCAACCTACAGGGGCCAGCAGATAAGGTGACAGTCACAGCGTTGGACTCCCACACGGCCGACTGCACTTTGAGTCCTGGGTCTAGGGGCTTAGAGCTCGTCACAAGCACACGTGCATGTGTGCCCAAGACCCCTGGAGAACAAAGGGGAAAGGACCGCAGTGTGGCCATCCCCGAGGGGTCACTTCTCTCTGTCTCTCTGTCTCCAGTGGGTTCATGTGCCATAGAGCAAAAATCTCCCCAAAAAAATGGAAACGAAAAGTCAACCTACAGAGTAGGACATTTGCAAATCGGATCTCTGACAAGGGATTATTACCCAGAATACATAAAGAATTGCTACAATGCAACAAGAAAACAACCTCATTTTTTAAATGGGCAAAGGTCTTAAATAGATATTTCTCCAAAGATACACAAATAGTGGGACCAGCAGTTGGTGTAATGGTTATGTCGCTGGACTCCCACGTAGTCAACCGCAGTTCGAGTCCCGGACCCGGTGGCTTAAACTCACGCTGGGACAGACTCCGTACGCCCCGTCTACAGCAGCACTGGCCACAGCGACCAGGTGTAACCCGAGTGTCCGAGGCACAGGGTGGAGAGAAAAAATGAAGCATACACTGAGTGGAATACTACTCACCCACGAACAGGAGTGCCATTCTGAAACACGCCTCCACATGGATGGCCTCGAAAGCATGGCATTAAATGAAATCACCCGGACAGAGAAAGCAGTGAGGGTCGACTGTAGTTACACAAGGCACTGAGAGTAGACAGATCCAGAGACAGGAGGGACAGATGTGCCCAGGGGCCTGGAGAGGAGACCCAGGGCAGTTACTGCTTAGTGGGAGAGAGCTCTCCCTGGGGCTCGCGGGGACCAGGGAACAGCGGGTGGGCACACGGCACCACCAGCGTGTCGGGGAGAGCCCTCACTGGGGCCCACGGGGACCAGGGAACAGTGGGTGGGCACACGGCACCACCAGCGTGTCTAATGCCTGGGTCATGCATGTCCAAGTGGTCCAAATGGAACACAGTGTCTGAGTCCCCGCAGTGAGAACGGGAAGGGGGACGCACCCCCACAGTGTCGGCAGCTTTGCCCCCAGCGAGGTCTCGGGTGGCCTCCTCTTCTTCACCCTTCTCTGTTTTCCAAGTTCCCTTTCGATTGCTCTGGACAGAAACTAGTACGTTCCGGGCCAGCCCTGTGGGCTAGTGGTCAGGGGGCTGAACCTCACCTGTACAACCGTGTATCAAGTACTGGCCCAGGCGGCCTGAGGGACACACAAGTACATGTGTCTGTGCTGTTGCCCTCTGAGGGACACACAAGTACATGTGTGTGTGCTGCTGCCCTCTGAGGGACACACAGGCGTGTGTGTGTGTGTGCACTGTCCTCTGAGGGACACGCAGGTGCGTGTGTATGTGTGTTGCCCTCTGAGGGACATGCAGATGTGTATGTGTGTGTGTGTGTGCACTGCCCTATGAGGGACACACAGGTGCATGTGTGTTGTGTATGTGTGTGTGCACTGCCCTCTGAAGGACACACAGGTGAGTGTGTGTGTGCGTGCTGCCCTACGTGGGACACGTAGGTACATATGTGTTGTGTATGTGTGTGTGTGCTGCCCTCTGAGGGACATGCAGGTGCGTGTCTATGTGTATGCTGCCCTCTGAGCGACACACAAGTGCGTGCGTGTGTGCGTGTGTGTGCACTGCCCTCTGAGGGACACGCAGGGACATGTGCGTGCTGCCCTCTGGGGCTGGCTGAGGACTGAGGGCTGCAGACCAGAGCTGGGCAGCCCCCTCGCCTGCGCGGTGGAGGGCACAGCTGCCCATCAGCCAGTGCACTGAGCAGGTGCCGAACGTGGAGACCGGCGCCCCTGGTTCTAATCGGCCAGGACTGGTGGAACCGCACCCAGAAGGGCCCACGCCTACCTGTGGACATGCTGCTCATGTGTTAAGCGGCAGGGACCTTGCCCCGGGTCTCACGAGGTGTCCCCAAGACCTGCTGTCCCCTCACTGACAGGTAACTAAAACGGCAGGGAGATCAAATAACTCACAAGAAGAAGATATAATTTTTTATCTGCCTCCTACAGTCTCATAGCCACTTCCGCCGGGAATAACAAGGTCTGAATTCTTATGCAACACTTATCTAAATGTGTCGATTTTATCGGATTGATGAATTTTGCTAACAAAAGGCAGCCTAGGAAATCTTTTATGACATATCTGGCCATTCACCGGCTGGAGCTTTAATTTAGCCAACTTGAGAATTCTGAGGCAGGTGTCGGGTCTGGAAAAGCATAAATGGGGCAGGCAGATCGATCTTCACGACAGGGAGACAGAGCACTCGCCACCGCTTGCCCTGCTCGGGAGGGGCAGTCGCGTGGCGGGGCAGGACGCTGTCTGGCCGCAGGGTCGCAGAGCCCTCCCTGTCTCCAGGCGACCGCTGCTCGGTGTGGACGGGAAGGGACTCGCTCGGTGTGGAGCGGCGAGGCTTGCCTGCCGCATTCTCCTGGCCAGGTTGGCCCAGGTGTTGGCAGCTCTGCCTGCGGCCCCACACCTCCCGCACCTCCCTGTCCGAGGGTCCACCCCACCACTCACCTCTGCCTCTAGGAAACCAGCCCAGCTGCAGCCCCACGGGCACCGGGCCGTCGGCCAGTCTCGCACCGCGCCAGGTCCAGCAGGTCCGGCCCGCACCACGGCCACTGGGGGCTCACACTCGCACAGGCCGAGCTGGCCTGCCCCTCCCACGTTGGCTGCACCAACCCATCTGTCTGTCCTTCTATCCAATTTAGGAGCCGTTGGGACAAAACAGTCAGTCAACTGCCAAACTCCCTCTCCCCGTGACTATCGAGTCGTGGTTCTATCCAATTTGGGAGCCGTTGGGACAAAACAGTCAGTCAACTGCCAAACTCCCTCTCCCCGTGACTATCGAGTCGTGGAGGAGCAGAGGGCACAAGTGCACGCCTGCCAGTCTCTGCGCCAACCGCGGCGGGGGCCTCGCTGAGCCCCACTAC